TCAATATCATGATGGTACATTGCAGACAAATAACTAGAATAGAGCTCAAGTGTACACAACAGTTGCCCGAGCGTCGGCATGGAAGATGCCGTTCTCGGACATCAGTCTTCTCATGGTGATGGATTAGTAGTAAGCCCGGTTACGCGCATCAGGGCTCCAACTTTTACCATCCGTTGTCCAGAACCATACTCTTAATCTTGCCGAAGGCTACCTGTGCAGGTTTGATCTCATCGTTTTCACTTTCTACACTCTTGTTGCCCACAGCTGCGAGCACGCGTCCTACACAACACCAACTAGCACACGGTATCGGGGATGAGCAACTGAATGCGTGGCAAAACAATATGGACGAAGAGAAGGGATCCGGGAGCTCGACGGCAAGAACACAGAACAACTCGCTCTTCGAAGAGATCATGTCCGTTACAAGCGTTCCTACTTCAAAATTTGATGCACGTACCCTATCCTCCTCCTGCTCTTTAGAAAGTATTCTCCGCTCAAGTCGTCTCTTCTTGACTCGTGACGCAGCCGCCGGGACTGATCAAGTTATACAGCGTTCTTATTATCGGCAATAATTTTGGTATCGCGAATTCAATTGGGATTCCCAGGCTCATCACAGGCTTCTTCCACGAGGACGGCATCTTTGTTCTCTCCTCCGGTCCTGTCTCATCGCTTCCTGATCAATGCGAATAATCCGCTGGGCTCGGCTCCTCGTTGCGATGTTTGTTATGCTTTGGGGCATGAACACGACGTTCGCGTCAGCAACTCCGGTGTCGTCTCACGCGCTTTTCGTGGAGCGGTAAGGAGTAGCTGTCCGTCTCCTTGACATTGTGGTTGACTACAGCATCTCGCTAGGCCTAGGATTTCTCATCACAGTCGAAGTCAACGTCCATCATGGCAATTGCGACGTGTAAGTGGGCCCATTGGATGCGTGTCTTAGTCTGTGCATCTCCACCGTCGCGTTGGCATACCCAGGCACGAGTGACAAGACAGTCAGGCAGGAATTGGGGCCCGCAACGCCATGGCCAAGAGCAAGAGCTGATGTGTAACCGATGCTTTGTTTTGTGCCAGGTGGCATGTGAGCAGCTGACACCACAAGCTCCAGATGGCTACCTAGGTACTGGCACGTTATGCTGGAATTGGGCGGCCTGCATATTCACAAGAGCCTCTGCAGATCTAGACCTGAGTTAGTTGTCGCAAAGGCATGACTAATGAGGCTCCGTCGAGTGGCTGACAGGAATCGGCCAATGTTCGTAATGGTGATTGCCGGCCGGGGAAAGTATGACGTCGTGTGCTGGAGCTAGTCACGTCCACTAACCGAGGAACGTGTGTTTTCTCCAGCATACCAACCTTTCCTTCTGAAGCGTCCATCTGCCAAGTTTGCAAGCTCTTTTCATACAACTGAGATACTCCATCGACTCGATTGACCTTCCTTCCTCCTGTCAAGCTACACGAACACACCGAAACATACCCAAAGCTAGAAGCCCCGAGCTATACCGCCGAAACCCCGCAAACTTCCCTCCACATAAACACCCCCGAAACCAGCCATGTCCGCTATCCGTGCCTTCGCGACCCGTCGCGCTCCCTTTGCCTTTGCTCAGCGTGCCGCTTTCTCGCAGTCAATAGCCCGCACCGCTGGCAAGGAGTCGGCTCTCCGTACGTCCGCACCGCCAACCTCGGCTTAGCGCCAACAATCACAGCATTGGACGCGTGCCAATACCACACTGAGAGAAGGAATTGAGCTGACATAAGCGAACAGACTCTGAGAACCGCGCCGAGGAGGTCGAGAAGAAGAAGCAGGAGCAGCTCAACAAGAAGAAGGACGGCAAGCAACACTGGGAGGAGCAGCTCGCCAGTGACAGCGAGAGCGCTGTAAGTTGGATCTAACCTATCGGGAAGATGGAAGAACATGGTTATGAGGGCATTGGCTAACGGAGAGTATAGGTCAAGGCGGATCGCTCCGAGACCGGCAAGGACACCAAGCAGCAGATCAAGGAGCTCCAGGAGGAGACCAAGAAGGTCGGCCAGTAAACGAAGTACATACAACACACGAGCTCGATATGAGAGACTCCCTTACGGGCTAAAAGAGGACGCTGGGCGCCAGATCACTCTGGGTCGTACTGGGACGGGATCGACGGAAGGGAAAATGGGACCATAGCATCAAGGGCTATCTGCAGCACCCAATTAACACGATTAATTCAGTCATATTTCACGGATTTCTTTACTTTTCTGGACCGCGCCTCCTCCAAACCGTATTGCTTTCTCCCGCAATAGCTAACCTCCTGTCACAGACCGCCTTGTAGCGATACGCCCCACTGTAATGCCAACTATGACCCACCGTCTTCCTTCAGACGCGTAACACAACACGTGAAAGCCGGATGCTATCATACCACATCGACGTGCCATATTGTCGCAGGCCATTGAGGAACCAACGTGCACTATCTATTCGACATCGCATCTAGAGCGCATACAATCTACCAACTTCACCCCACCCCGCCATCCACCATACCACCCCCCCTCTAAACCCTACACAACCTCCCACTATCAAGATCATACTCCCACCCCTCCGTCCCCACCCCCGCCAACACAAACAAACTCCCACTCGGATCATACTTCCTCTTCACCTCCACTAACCTCTCATACCCCTCCCCATAAAACACCTTCTGGAAACCCTCAACATACGGATTCGCCTCATTCATATACGCCCCCGACCCCGGCGCCCACTCCTCCCACATCGGCTCCTTGACAACCGCATGCCACGCCGCTCCTATGCTCAACGCACGCTTCGCACTCCCCGCGGCGCGGGAGTCGATAGTAGCGCCTGTGGCGATAAAATGAAGGTACGCGGTGCGCCAGCTGGGGTGTAAGGCGCCCCAGTGTTTGGAGGGGGTGGAGTGCACGCCGGGCCCGCCTGAGAGGCCGATGGTGGCGTAGTTTCCGGGGGAGGTGGTGTTTTGACTTGCCATTGCGGTCTTCAGGTATGAGATGACTTGCGAGTGGGGGGTCGAGATGAGTTCGGCGCGGCCGAGGAGACGGGAGGAGGTGAGGGACTCGCCGCCTGCGACATTGTCGCCGGATATGGTGGTGAAGAAGGAGGGGTAGGTGGGGTGCGTGGCGGTTGCGAGGGTTGTTGTGAGGAGGGTGGTGTTGGTGTTGGTGTCCGATTCTGACAACCTTGTCAAGATGGGTTGAACAAGCGTTTCGACAGCCGCGGGCGTGGTGTTGAACGCCCAGAAGACTTGATTGAGACCGATACCAGTGAACGGGCCGTTCGAAACATCGATGTCGGGGAAGAACTTCGGTGCCGTACTTCCCACTGCTACGGTTGCAGCGCCTGCAAGTCCGGCGTCCATGAGATCGGGTAGGTGGCTGAGCCAACTGGCTACTGCTGACCACGACGCTTCCATACTGGCATTTGAACTGCCTTTCGGCTTGATCTGGACACTCGCCATCACGACGTTACGCGGAGCTGGGTAGTGCTTGATCACGTATTCAGTGACGACGCCATATTGTCCTGCACCACCGCCACGCAGTGCCCAGAAGAGATCTTGATTCTGGACTTCATTGGCGACAAGTACATGACCGGTGGTGGTAACAACGGTCATTTGGAGAACCTGGCTTGATGCCAGACCATAGGTGGAAGCCAACGGGCCATGACCACCGCCTTGGATATAGCCTCCCAAACCCACACTGGGGTCTTGGCCTGTCGTCACAACCCGGCCTTGACTTGTCGCGAAGGAGAGGACGTTACCCCACTGTTGGCCGCTGCCGACGATGAAGACGTCTTCTGCGGGCGAAGAGCTGTTGGCGATTCGCCAGGCTTTGTCGCGACTGAGGTTACGGAAGTTGCGCGTCCAGATTGAGAGGGAGAAGGCGCCGCTTGATCTATGAAGGTAATGTCAGCTTTCCATCCCTAAGTCATCTTTGAGAACTGAGGACTCACCGGCCGTTGAGATCATGACCCGTCCCCTTAACCACAATCCTCACATTCCTCTCCGCAGCCCACTTCATTGCAAAAGCTACATCAACCTCCTCCGTCGCATTAACAATATACTGCGGCAATCCACCTACACTACACCCCTGCTTCTCCGACCAACTCCCTACTTCATCTGGCAAACAAGAGTTATTCGCATAGAGCTGGTAGTCAATTGACTCTGGCTGTTGCGAATGCCAGGTCCCGTTCGACCAGTTGTCGTTGACTTCTTGGCAGGAGAGAGGGGAGGTGAAGGTGTTGTTGGTGAAGGGCCAGCAGGAGGCTGCGACGGGTACGGTGCGGATTAGGGATCCGCTGATTGTGGCGTTTAGGGAGGACCATTCGGAGGGTGTGGGCCATGCTGCGTCGGAGGGGGTTGTGCGACAGAATGGTGGAAGTGGTGTTGAGGCTGCGCTTGCGAGAGCGGGTGATGCGAGGGTGAGGTATCGTAACATGATGAATCAAGGGCGACGGAAGGAACGAACAAGCCTTAGATGAGTCTACTCGAAATGCGTACTTTATCGACATATTTATACCTCGTTGAGACGCGTGCGACTTTCGTTTTTCGTGTTACCTCTCTTTCTCGTATTCTCTCTCCTCTCGTATTCGCGGCTCTTATGGACTTCGCCACGGTGGGTGTACCAAAAAGCGCGCCACGAAAGCCGCGTCTTCGACCCAGTTATTCTTTCGTATGGCATCTAAGATTGAGCCATGAGAATACAAAGGACCGCACTAGTACGGAAATCTAGGCTTTTGGACAGGTTGATACCGACAAGACATTCACACGAGAAACATTTCGAAGATTTGGAGATCATTGCTTCATTCAATGGGCCTGGGGGCTATCTAGTAGCTTAAGCAGCGTTGACATCGAACCGAGTGTGTGCTCCGGTTGTGTACATGCTGTAATCTGTGGCATGGCCTTTTTCCCGCCTTCTCAGTGATGCTTGTCTACCCAGTGATCTCCTCGAGCAAGACCAAACAGTATGCCATGTTGGGGAAATCACCATATACAGTAGAGCCAGACTTCGGGCAGCTATACGTACATCGAAGAGAAGACTTCCTCCGGTACCCCGGCTTTCTTGCGGTCCGTCGAGGACTTCTGGAGGACCTCGACAGCCTTTTTGAAGACCTCTTCAGCCTCCTTCAGGTCTTCTTCAGCCTTTGCGTGGTCTTCCTGAGCTTTCTTGATGCTCTCCACGAGGTGAGGAGACTGTACCGACGACCAAAGATCTGTATGTGGGAACTCAAGCATTAGCTTTGTACAGGCACACGGGTTGGGGACTCTGAATTGGTACTTACCCTCCACCGACTGCTCACGCAAATATCCCAGAAGTTTCTCTAAGATCGTCTCTACAGTATCCCCGAATTTGTAGCGCATCAAACCATCCCAAGGAGTATTTGTAGAGCCCATCTTCCAGTTAATGTCACAGCCATATGCTTCGGGCTCCCCGTAGATGCTGATGTTGAAGACGACACCGGGAGGGAACATGTTAGAGAAGAGAAAGTCGATCCGAGCTACATAGGTTAGAATTGAGCGTCATATATCCGAACGCTTAGGGGAAACTTACCCAAGATCTGCTCTTCGATCTGCTTTTCCCACATGACCGTCTCGTACTTGGTCATTCCAGCCATGATTCTGAGGTTATGTGTTGAGCAACTCTGGATTGTATCGATCGGGATGTGTTGCGAAAGTGGGATACAAGAGTGATGGAGCCGTGGAGTGAAAGTATTAATTCTATGCTCTACAAAGCACGTACCATCTTCGCTACGTAGAGCTTGTCTATTTCGGGCAACTGAAATCGCTCGAAAAGTCTAGGTAGATGTCATGATACTTGGATATTGTGCTAGAAATATGCTGGAATGAAGTGACATAAGATGAAACACTCCTGCTTCTTGCCTTTTCAGATGAAAGGACGGTTGTGTCGGTACGTGGGCGATATGAGTGTGTGTAGAGTGTAGGTGTACGTAAGAAAATCTAAGTATGAGATATGTTAAGTAAAGTTTTCGATTCCCTACAGTATCTTTTGCCGGTCTGTTACAGCGAGCCGGGTGGGGGCAGACCACGAGGCCTGTCCGCTTCCGGTGGACTGCTACGTTCTATGAAACTTTCCTGCTCATCCTTATGTAAACGGCTTTCTGTCATGTTGCATGATTGTCGTGGCAATTCTCCACGCAAGCTAATGACTGGTCTGAACCTATCTCCCCTAGTAAACAAACTCCGCGGTTTAACTACATCATACAGCATTCAGACTCCGGTTGCACCTCCATTCCAGTCTTATCCTTCTTCTCTGGACATACTTAGTGAGTCGTATAGCTGTGAAACAATATGAACTACTAACCCATGACTTCGGCCGTCTTCACGCGCAACATCTGCCTCAGCGACAGATACGCTCCATCTACACTCAGATACTTTGCGGTTTGTAGAAGAGGCTTCCAGTTGAAGTATCTGGTATCTGGATAGACAATGAGCCAGGCGACGGCGGTGTCGAGATTGTCTTCGTCTTTTACGCAGCCGATGATGACGTCGAATTTGGGAGCCTTGCTGTAACCTGGACCGTAGATTGCGCAAGCCTGAGCTGTTGTAAATGTTAGACATACGATGTAGATAGCGACAACCATAACTCGACTCACCGATGATAGTTGCTTTCATCGTCTCTCCATACTGCGCTTGATCGTTGCTGTTAAGTTTCTCGGTCATTCCCGCGATTGATGAGCGTCTAGGTAATGGTCCAAAACCCAGGTACCTTGGAGTAGAAGAAAAGTGGAGAAAAACAAAACTTGGAACCCTTTTCTGCAAGATTTTGCTTACGTAGACAATGATTTCGCTCTCACTTTCACTCTTATTGCGCTTAGGTAACCATTCCACATTTGTAAACTGAGTTTTACTCAAAGATACATGCAGCGCTTAGAGGTTTCCTTCCCTACCCATCCACCAACTCAACAAAGTTCCGGCCCAGCCTTACTCGCAGCGATTCCAAGAGCGCCTTCAATCCCGCCGCAGCATCAACGCCATCATGAACCGAGTGAACCCGATCCCACTTCCTGATCCTATGCGGCCGCTGGTATACGATAAGATGGGTGTTGTATGGCGTTTCTCGTACGTCTCTGGAATAAGTATGAACGACGTCGAAGACCGAATGATAGCGGTATTTGGAGCCGTAGACGGCGCGGGCGTGTGCTTTGGCAGGGTACAGTTAGTGAGGTGTAGATGTGTAGATGTGTTGAGGCAGTAAGGGGGTTGGGGTAGTGGAAGCATACATAGGATTTGCTGTTTCATTTCTTTCTCCCATAAGAGGTCGTATTCAGGCGTAGACATGATGGTAGAATCGTGTCTTGATGGAGTGCGGTAGTAGCAGTTAGGAAGTGTACACACAGGCGAAGTACAACAGTTGAGATAATTTCACGAAGCGTTTCCGGAGAATGAGGCGAAAGATCTTCACTTTGCTGCGTACAGATAGTGCTTGTCTAATACTGTGAATAGCAAACGCCTCACTGATTTTCATGTACGGTTCTAGTGTGTTCGACAAATGTATGGTAACGTTCAGCAGTAGGGAGCGCGGAGAACGCACTCAGTGTTGTCGAGATATATGGAGCTACAATACATGACGTCGCCAGAACATGTCCTACTTCTCCCTATTCCGCACTCACCAGCCAAGCACTGAATCAACACCTACACATCAGGATACACCACTTTATAGACATCATCCGAGACCTCCTGTATTATCCTAGAAAGCTGGTCTTGCAGCGTCGTCACTAGCTCCTCCAACCCCTCCTCTTCTGTATTGTTCATCTTGGTAGACACCAGGACCTTGATTTTGGCTCGGTGAGAACATTCGTGGATTGCGACGAGATGAAAGATGAATTTATCGCTGCCTTTAGTGGTGACGATGTCGAAGGTGGTCCCGGGGCGGACTTCCTCAACGTACGCGGCGCGTGCGTGAGATAGGATCTTCTTCTTCGTCTCATTCTCCCACATGATGGATTCATATTGAGTGAAAGTCACAGGCATTGTTGCTGTTGGGTATGGTTTAGGAGACAGATCTCGCAGATCGCTTCTTATTTATGGTTGAAGAGAAACCTCGTGACTGGTCAATTGCTATACCCTGAGATAGGTCACGAAGAGCAACAGCAAGCGCTCCTAAAGTGGAACTCAGTTTGCTTCCATCCTATGGACCTAGTCGCCCATAGATCCACCACTCACCATCCACCACCCTCCCCCACCCTCCTCTACATCATCTTCCCCCTCTTCCTCCTCCCAACAACCCACCTATGCGCAACATCATAAACCGCCCTCGTCCAACTCCTCGTAATAATCTTCCCCTCAAACGTGCCACTAACCCAACTAAACAACACCAGCAACGCAGCACTCAACCCAAACGTCCACCCAAACGCCCGCCAATAACTGCCCACCTCAAACTCCAGCCCCTTGAACTGAATGCTAAAATACCCCGTCATCAGCGTCACAGGCGTGAACAAAATGGTAATCTTAGCAAGCAGCAGAGTAACCCAGGTGAGGCGTTCAACTGAAAAGGATTCTTTGATGGCGATGAGGTTGAAGTTCATCATTACGAGGGACTCTTTTTGGTCGAGGCATTCGGATATTTCGGAGAGGGCGTACAGCTGGATGCGGTCTTTGAGGCGCTCGAAGCGGACGCGCGCGGCGGAGCTGAGGGCTACGCCGAGGAGGCTGTCGGCTTCGGGGACGAGGGGGCCGGGAGAGTCGTTTATTACGGGGTGGGAGGAGATGAGGGAGGCGTTGCCGGAGAGGATGTGCGAGTTCTTAAGTGACGCGAGGGTGGCTTCTTGCTTTTTGAGGACGCGCTCGATGATTAATTCGTAGCTTTGGTAGACGCGCTTTAGGACGGCGAGCTGGCAGCCGATGTGGTGAAGTTGGTCGACGTGGGTGAGGTTGGCTGTTTGGAGCATTTCTTGTCGGAGTCGGTCGAGCTCGGCGGCGTAGCCGTGTTCGCGGCGGGAAATGAGATCGAAGGTTGCGCCCCAGTCTTCAAAAAGGTAGTAGAAGAGTAGGCCCGGGGCATCCGTGGGACGGTGGGCTGTTTCCTCATCGCTGCTGCCGAGACGTTGGCGGATGGGTAGTTGAGTGAGCGCTGCTTCTCTAAGTGGCGTCGGCGCTTTCGTGAGTTGTCTGAAGACGTTCACAGTATTCCGACGTGTTGTGAAGAGTACTTTCACGTCTTCGTGGGTCAAAGGGCCGTTGGCGAACGGGAATGGGTCTTCGGAGATGGAGATGACGGTTTTATCCTCGCATAAGAGAAGCCAGTTCCATACACGTTTGCCGTGGGGCACGTCTCGAGTTCTATCCGAGATTATAGGGCGGGTGTTGGTTTCTTTGCTGCGGACGTTGTGTAGCGAGTTGTAGCCTATGCCCATATCTGTTTTACTGTCAGCAGAGGGTTCTCATCTAGCACCCATGTCTCCTATCAAGCAAAGGGTAACTTACATCTCCGACCCTGATCGACGGTACTCCAATGCCATACATCGTCTACTAGCTGGTAGTGATCCAAATCTCGGACCAGCTCCAGCTGTGTAGATTGCATCAATTCGGTAAGACCGATACTGGATTCTGAATCCAAAGCTTGTTCATTCGCTTGCTTCGCCTTTTCCCTGATCGAATTGGACATGTTCGATGTGTGTGATTTGTGGGAGAACACCGATCTTAGGGTCGAAGAACTCTTCTTCATGCGCAAGGATGGGTTGTTACGTGGCGGAACGTGGTCGCTCGTCATCATGCCCAGCAGTCTAGGCGTGAAGTCGAAGTGAGAGGCTAGCGTTCTGATCAGCTCTTTCTGGTTGGAGGGATTCCAGATGTTGATCCATCGCGTATGTAGTTCAGTCGGTCGTGGCGATTGCAGCAACTTTTTGTACGCTTCGGCATTGAGATCGAAAGCGCAAAAGGCATCACCTTCATCTTCTCCAAAGTCGATACAGAAATTGCGACACCTGTGCTCTCTTGTTTGCCGGTCGAAGAGGTCAAAGTTCCGGTCCAAATCGAAATTACGGAAGCATTGCCGAATATCGTCGTTGCCTGTGTCTTGGTAGTATGGCGGCAGGTCCTCAGCAGGTGATGCGGGCCGGAAAGGTCCGAAAGGATTTGCCATAATGAGAGAATGTGGAGTTTGTTGAGTCGGATGCGACGTGGGTGATAGTGATAGGAATAAGCGATCTGTTTGGATGACGAATAGTGCCGAACATCTGCACTGGCGATGTGACTGCAGCTCGTGCTGGGATCTTCGTGGGTATGTGTCGTGTGTACCTTAAAGTGCGAGGTCACGCGGTGCGGTTGAGGCTCATGCCGGCAAGAAGTCTCACCCAAGGCAGGCTAAAGGTTTGCAGCTGCCTGTGCAGCTCCGCATCTCTTACCATTCTAGTTTGTACCTGACATAGAGTATCCTCTAAAGGTACTCGCCAGGGCTGACGCTTGCTTGTAACTGTGTGAACCACGGCGCGCAAAATTGGCATGCAGTATGGAGGCAGCTGAGACGATACAGACCTCTTCCAGGTATAGCGTTTCCATGACAAACGAACAAAAACAAAGAGATACGGACTTGAGTATGATGCACAAATGCGGCGACGTAGCTGGTTCGACCTAGAATAAACTTAGCAGCTAGGTCAAGGTACCTAGGTAGTCCGGACGGAGACGTTCGCGCATCGTGAACAGCAGATGATCAATACTAGGCGAACAGTCGAAGTAACACCGCCAGTTGATCTCGTGCGAGGATGGATGCACAGGAAAGTTACGCAGCAGTCATGGCTTAGATGGAGGATGATGACCTGGTGTCGCGTGGTCTGAATCGAGATGGGCGGCTGACTGGTGGGGTCGGAAGATTGCGCTTGCCCCCTATTAGACGCCAAGCGCGCCTTCCCAGATAGGCAAGTCCTGGAAGCCATCGAAGACGGTAGGGTTTCACTGTCAATGAGTCCAAGTCGAGTTGCAGTTCACAGATGACGTCGAATTGAATCCGCCCCAATAACGGAAGACAGCTGATACATGCAGTGAAGAGATATAAGCCTCTATCGTCTCAAGCATGTACAGATGGCAGCCTGAAGAGGCAACTAGCGAACCTGTGGATTACAGTGGTTTTCTATTCACTCTCCCGCATCTTCTACTTTTCCACTCAACCCTGCCTGTAGAACGTGAACACAGGCCGGAACAGGGAAGTGTTGGACAGCTGTCGATTGCAGATCCTCAAGGGTGAACTGGGCAGCTCATCCGCTAGGCCTTTGTACCTAGCAAGTGTGCTGCAGCGTCTCAACGCAGACGAGCTATACCATGTTCTCATAATGGTGGGGCATCAGCGCGACTGCAGAATAAGGGTTCGATAGCTTATTACCGTCTTCACATGCACACATGCCACACCATACAAATACCCACGATTTACTGCTCTATCAATATGCCAGCCGCCTAACGCGATTCATAGCCTTGCTTCGGCCCTTTTCGCTCTGCGCCTGCGGGTAAACCCCTCGACTGCTATATCGACGCCCGGCGGAGGGGAAGAAAGACGAGCACGTGCTCCATTTGGACCTCAACAGCGTTCGCCACGGTTACTCCCAACGCGATGGCCGGCCCACTCGTTCAAGAAGCTGCAGCGTTGCAGAAGCCTACAGCGGCCGCGACGCCCACGCTCCCAGGGTGACGTTCTCATAGGAGGCGCGATGGACTGGCGCCATTTCCTGAGG